AACAAACAGATTTGTCCTGGAAAGGGTTAAACCGGGTGGCTCTTTGGAGGCAAGGATTCTGAGGCTCTGTCTAACATACTTTGGACATGTTGTAAGAAGAGACCGGTCCTTGGAGAAGGACATCATGCTTGGGAGGGTGGAGGGACAGCGCAGGAGGGGAAGGCCCTCTACAAGGTGGATTGATTAGGTGACTGGGGTTATCAAGATGGGAGTGTCAGAGACAGTGCGATTGGCAAAAGACAGAGCAACAGTTTAGGGCTGTTGTGCATAGGGTCGCTATGAGTCGCAAGAGACTCGATGGCACATAACAACAACAACAACATAAGATATACCACTATAATTTAAAAATCATGTTTCTAAGAATACCTAATGACCTAGGCAAATTATTTAAAGCAAAATCTTGAAATGCATCATTTACATTGTATGCCTGACAAAAATGTAACGTGCTCAGGTACAACATGGAATGCTAATAACCCAGAGGTGCTTCAGAACACAGACCTGATATTCTGCTGCTCTGTGCAGAAGTTCTACTCGGCAGATATGGGATAGTCATAAGGTGGATAACCATTATCAACAAGTTAGAAGAAACAGAGAAATATTAAAAGAGGGATAATCAGCAAAGACCAATCTTGTAAAAAAAAATGTTATGGGAAATTATAAAAAAAGAACTACTCTAGAGTAAAGGAAACTAAAGAAACATACCAACTAACTATACACAGTAAGTGATCCTTGATTAGATCTTGAAACAAGAAAAAAAATTTAAAAATTATTAGGATAATTGAGGATATCTGACCTGAAAATTAGAAAATTATAATACTCAACTTATTGCTGTCAAGTTGAAACCAACTTACAGCGGGCCATCTAGTAGATTTCCAGAGGTTAAAAATAGTAAAGGAGGAGAATGCCCATCTTTCTCTTGAGTGTAGGATAATAATCAACCCCAAAATCAGACTCACTTCCACTGAATAACTTCTAGCTCTTGGTGACTCTCAGTGTGGTTTCCAAGGCTGGGTAAATCTTTATGTGTGGAGACTGCCCATTTCCTTCCATGGAGTACCGGGTAGAGTTGAGCCACCAACTCTGCAGTTAGAAGTCCAGTGCTTTGGATTTTGTTTTTTTACACACACTTTAAGGTATCTTTTATTGTCTATAGTAGTGCTCAGATAAGTACACATAATGTTTTGGGGTTTTCTTAAATTTTTTTTTTATTCTTTCATTGTTGCATATTTTCCTCCTTCCCCACTCCACTCCCCTCCCTAGTCCACTTTGCAATGCACTTCTAGTTCCAGACTGCTGTTATACATACGTCTAATCATATATCCCCTTCAGACAACTGTTCCCCTCATCTGTTCCAGTGCAGTGTTCATTATCTATCCACTCTTTTCCTGGTCTCCCTGCAACCCTCCCCATGCCAGTCCTAGTTTGTAATAGTGGTATTATGCAGATATTTCACTCAACATAATGTCTATCAGGGTCACCCTGTTTTATTACCTTTTATAAGGTCACTGTTTTTCAATGCTGTGTGAATGTACCATAATTTTTCTATCCATTCGTTTGTTGATGGGTCCAGTGTTTTTCTGTTTACTTGAAAAACTTGAAAATTAAAATGTAGGAAAGCAATGGTAGAAGAAAAAAACAACACTAATTTATATGCATATGTATACGCAAAGTTTTAAAAATTGCAAGAGATTTAACTCTTGGAAACTGAGGGACACAATGCTAACTTCTTTTTACTATCTTTAAAACATCCACTTTTCCAAATTGCCTGCAATGAACAGATATCTATTTCATAACAACAACAGTAATTTTAAAAGCTCAAGCTATTTTTTTAAGAAAAAAGATGAAGTAGAAGAGACAACTGACCACATTTCCTCACCATCTGAGCCTCTGTAAAAGAGAGAGTGATGCTTTTCTCTATGGTTAATCAATAACACATAACATTCAAAAAATTGTGCATTCAAGAACATAAACATGACTCTGGCATACTCTATGATTTATAAAGGGAACTCGGATAGCCTAGTGGTAAGGAATTGCTATGCCAACTGGAAGGTACACTGCTCAGGTGGAGAAAAATGGGCTTCTCCTCGCCTGTGGTTTAAAGCCTCTAAAAAACGCTGTGGAAGATCGGCTGAGTTGGTTTTGACTCAAGCAAGCCTAACAACAGCTATGGCAAAGTTTTTAAACTCCTCCTCACACACTTTGGGTCTGTTTTCAGGAACCAGTCCTTAGCAAGGTGGGATGGTCTGTGCAGAAGACGCCGGGTGAGCTGAATTTGACACAGTAACTGGTGCAATGGAGTCAGGTGTGTCAGAGACAGGGTAAAGGTGCAGAGATGCTAAGGCTGGCTCAGGACAGGGTATGGGTGCAGAGCCGTTGTTCATAGGGTCGCAATGATTCATAGTCGACTCAACAGCACATAACATTTATAAAATTCAACTCACTTTGGACAAGTATCAATAGAGGAAAATGAACATAAACACGGCAAAGTACTAAAGAAAATCGACCTGTGCAAAAGACAAACTGCCTTTATATCTCAAAATAAGTACCACATGTAGAATGTTATTTTCCCAACCTAAAGAATGACTTTAGACTATTTTAGTTAACCAAGTTTACTGGATAATCTGTATTACCAGAACCTAGAAATACAGAAGGCTGTTAATAAAAAAAAAAAAAAATCTCATTCATTTAGCGTTGACACACTATGCAGTTGACTACAAAGAGCTTTCTTTGAACCCACCCAGCCCAAGAGCACGATCTATACAAAGCTAATTTTCGTTTAAGCATAATCAATCTAATCTGATGAATTCAATCTCCTCGCACAGCTCATGCGTCTATAACTCGGTTTAACAAAATACTGGGCGCCTACCAAACCCCCGTGCAGCACGGTCCTCAGCAGGTGACAAACATTGTTTCAAGAAGGGATTGAGATACCCAACTTTTCCAAGGTCACTCAATCTTCAGGGAGAAAGGGGTTTTCGCTTCGCCGCCTAAGCAGATGGCCATGGAGTCACTGAGCTGCTCCCTGCATCTTGCGAATAAAGACTCAAAGCTGAAAAGGCAGACAAGCCTAGTCCGCACACCGCTTACCTTGGACTAGTAAGGGTCTGAGAGGATATTAATGCTGTGGAAGTTTTGATGTTGGCTAAAACTCTTCGGCAAACAGCTGCCAAACAGGACGCAGCCATTTTTCCACATACCTAAGCAACTCTCGTTTTCGCCAACAAAGGGTTACTTCCGCTGCTTCCAGCCATTCGGACGAGAGGAACGAGGAAATAGCTTGCCCTCACTCAGCATGGCCTCTTTTTGCCTTCGCCCTCATTGTTGAATTGACTCGTTCCATTCCCATTACTCCCCGCTCTTCTTCCGAGTGCCCGGAGTAGCTATGGCTGCCATGAGCTTACTGCAGCGGGCTTCGGTCACGGCATTGGCGGCTCTATCGGGCCGCCACCTGGGAACCCGACTCGGACTCGGAGGGCTCCTCACTCGTGGCTTTCCGAAGACTGCCGGTGGGTACTAGCCTTTGGGAGGAGGCACGAGCAAGGGGCGCAGAGTGAGAGGTGGAGGACCTTCCGAGTGACCTTGGTGGGAGCCGGAGGGGGAGAAATTGTGAGTTTGGGGCTTGAATGGAGAGGCAGCATACATGGGCTGTGTGAGGAGATTGAAGTCATCAGATTAATTATGCTTAAGCGATAATAAGCTTTGCAAAACACTGTTTTTCACCACTTCGATTGGCCCTACTTTGCCGGTGAAACTAAACCCAGGCGAGGATAGAAATAAGAACCTTTTATCTCCAAGACACCAGAGTTATTGTATATTCCACCTGCATTAGGTTCTTCCAGTCTCGCAAGATGAGCAGTCATGCTGGAGCAGCCCACTGATGTTAACGGTTAAATAGAGGCTCAGAGCCAACTAGGCATATTTTCAGAGGTTCAGAAAATGTGTTCCGTTTAATTCTTTTGAAGTCAAAAGAAGATGATGGTTTTAATGAGTATGGGTTCATGAATCCAGGCAGCTTTTATATGTTTTCTGTTTATGCAGTCCTAAAATACAGTTTTAAGTAATTTTTTACAAAGACAAAAGTACCCAGGATCCAAAAGAGTGAGTTTTAATGCTTCCCCTGGAGGGCCTTTTGGAGTCTATTGGAGACTATAGCTGCTTTCCAAAGATAAAATAGCATCACATCAGATGCTTTATATTCTGTCTTACTGTCTCAAAGACCTCTAGTCACAATGTATTAGTTACAATTCATAGACATGAGAGATGCAAATGTTACAAAAATAATGCACCTTGAATAAATTTACTATTACTTCTAATAACAGTTGCCAACACATTTATTTATTTATTGCATACTCACTATGCACCAGCCACTGTTTTAAGACTTTGAAAAGAATTCATCTTCTTGATCAGAAATATTCGGTAAGTAACTTACCCTATTTAGTATTTACCCTATTTCAGGAACTGAAACTTTTCAACCAAAAGACCTTGTGTCAGCCTTACTATCCTGTAACTCTCCTTCGGTAATTTGAATTGTACTATTTCACATGATGAAACAATTGCAGAGAGACTGATGCAAAGGATGATTGGTATTTAATAGTTTTCTAGCAGGAATTTTAACATGTTACAGAACTACCTATGCTAACATTTCTTGATAAAAATCTTTAAAGTAATTTTCTGTTGCACAGATCCTCTCTAAATCCTGCTCTAGTACAATTTAATTAAACCTAATGTTGTTGTTGTTAAGTGCTCTTAAGTGTACTAAGACACATAGCTACCCTATAAACAGTGAACTGGGCCCTGTCCTATCCTGTGCCATCCTTATTTTCTCTGATACACTTGAACCCACTGTTGTAGTTACTGTGTCAGTCCATCTTACTGAAGGTCTTCCCCTCCTTTGCTGACCCTCCACCTTTCCAAGCATGAGGTTCTTTCCCAAGAACTGGCCCCTCTTAATGACTTGCCGTAAGTATATGAGGTGAAGTTTCACTAGCCTTGCCTCCAAGGAGCACCTTGGCTTCACTTTCCCCAAAACATGCTTGTGTTTCTTTTAACAGTCCGTAGGATATTCAACACTCCTTTCCAGCACCTTTTGAGCACAACTCAAAGGCATCAATTCTTTTGTCCCAACTTTCAGATCCATAGCAAGTGACTGAGAAAACCATGGCTTGAGTCAGGCACACTTTAGTCTTCAAACTGACATCTTTGCTCTTCAGCACTTTGGAATGGTCCCTCCACTCCAAAAATAGCAGACTTTCCAATGCAACATGTTTTTTATTTCCTGGCTGCTGGTGCCAGGGATGTTGACTGGATCCAAGCAAGATGAAGTCTTACAATTTCTGTCTTTTTTCTGTTATGATGTTGCCTGTTTGCCCCGTGGTGATGATTTTTGCTTTCTTTTTGTTAAGATGTTACCCATACTGAAAGCTGTGATCTTTGATCCTCTGCAGCAGCTGTTTCAACTCCTGCTCACTTGCAACAAGTAAGGCTGCATCATCTGCATAACAGTTTGTTGATGAGTTGTAGAATAAAATTTCACTAGCCTTGCTTCTCAGGAGCACCCCTGGTTGCTTTTCTCCCAGACATTTGTTCTTTTGGCAGTCCATGGGACATTCAGTACTTTCTCCAACAGTAAAACTCAGATGACTAGGTCACTACAACTGCCTTGATGAGATACTTCCAGTGTGTAGATGCCATAACATTGCTTGCAAAAAATGAAGATGTCCTCACAACTGGACCAAGAAGCAACATTGCAATAAGTAGAGAAGAGATTGAATCAAGAATGTCATTTTTCAGGGAGCTCTGGTGGCCTAGTAGCAAGAAGCTGCACTGCAATCCTGAAGGTGCGTGGTTCAAATCCATCAGATGTTCTGCTGGAGAAGGAGGGGCAATCTCCTCCTGCACCAGTCGGATGCTATTCAAAGGTACACAACAACAACAACAAATGCCATTTTTCTTGGACACACAATTCCCATGGAAGCAGAAGTCAAGAAATCAGAAGACAAATTGCATAGGGCAAATCTGTTGCCAAGGTTCTCATTAAAGGGCCAAAGAACAAGGATGTCAGTTTAAAGTCTGAAGATGTGCCTAGGGAACTCTGGTAGCCTAATGTTAAGTAGCTGTACTGTAATCCCAAATCCACCAGCTGGTCCAAGGGAGAAGGTTGGGCAATCTCCCCTTGTGCAATTAACTGCCTCCGAAAACCTGCTGGAAAGTCATTATGGCTCAGTTCCAACTCAGTTGTACACAACAAGAAGCAACAAAAAGTACCTGATGCAAGCCATGGTACTTTCAGGTGCTATAATTTTATGCTTGTGGAATTTATACAGTGATTTAAGAAGAACCAAAAAGAATGACTGATGCCTTTGAATTGTGGTGCTGTTAAAGAGTATATGGTCTACCAAAAGAACCAACAAATATGGGTTGGGAGAAATAGAGTCATTAGGCTCTTCAGCGACAAAAGTAGTGTGACTTCATTTTACATTTTTGTTGTGCTTTCAGGGAGGGTCATTCTCTAGAAGAGGATATCATGTGGAGGATGTGAGAAGATGAGGAAGACCCTCAAAGAAATAGATTAACACAATAACTGCCGCAGTGGGCTTGAGCACAGTGAGGGTGGTGCAGGATTGGGCAAGATTTAGATCTGTATGAGCTAAAGTGGACAGGATATCACCTAACAACTAAGTGAAGAGAACTTAAAGCACTTGCTGCAGAAAGACCAGAGACTGCAGCCTTCAGTATGGATTACGTCTCAACATCAAGAAGATCAAAATCTTCACCACTGGGCTAATAGGAAACATGATAGATGGAGAAAAGATTGACATTTTTGCTTGGATTTATAATCAGCACTCCTGATACCACAGTGAGGAGATCACAAGGCATGTTGCGTTGGGAAAAATCTGCTGTCAAGGACCTTTCCTAAATGCTAAAGTGCACCTGAATCAAGCCATGGGGTTTTTTTGTTTTTGTTTTTGTTTTTTTCAGTTACTTGCTATGCATTTAAAAGATGCATGATGAATATGGGTGACAGGAGAAGAATTAATCCCTTTGAGTTGTGGTGATGGGGGAAAATACAGAATAGCCATTGGATTGCCAAGACACCAAACAAGTATGTCATGGAGAAAGTGCAGCTAGCATGCTCTTTGGAGGTGAGGTAGTGATGCCTCATCTCACATACTTGGGTATGTTAGCAAGGGCTCAATGGGGTCTTGAAAAAGAATATGATGGAGGGAGGAAGACCCTTAGGGAGGTGGATGGACACAGTGACTCTTAACAGTTGTTGTTGTTGTTATGTGCCGGCGAGTCGTTTGCGACTCATAGCGACCTTATGCACAACAGCCCTAAACCCTGCTCTATCCTGCGCCAACCACACTGCCCACTGCCTCTGACACACCCATCCCCATTACCCCAGTCACCAAGATAATCCATCTCATAGAGGGTCTTCCCCTCCTGCGCCATCCCTCCACCCTCCCAGTCATGATGTCCCTCCAAGGACCCGTCCCTCCTGGCAACATGTCCAAAGTATGTCAGACGAAGCCCCAGAATCCTTGTCTCCAAGTTGTTGCTTGGTTTAATCCTCTCCAAGATGAATCTGTTTGTTTTCCTGGCAGTCCATGGTACATTCAGTACTCTTCTCCAGCACTACAGCTCAAAGGCATCATTGCAAAGACCATGGCCTGTATCAGGCGCACCTTAGTCTCCAGAGAGACACCGTTGCTCTTGAGTACTTTAGAGAGGTCCCTAACAGCAGACTTTCCCATCGCGATACGCTTTTTGATTTCCTGACTGCTGGTGCCAAGAGTGTTGACTGTGGAGCCAAGCAAACTGAAGCTGTGAACAATCTCAGTCTCTTCACCATCCATTCTGACACTGCCAGTTGGTCCAGTGGTGAGAATCTTTGTCTTCTTGACATTGAGCCTCAGTCCATACTGAAGGCTGCAGTCTTTGACCCTACGCAGCAGGTACTTCAGGTCCTCCTCAGTTTCAGCAAGCAGGGTTGTGTCATCTGCATAACGCAGATTGTTGATAGATCTTCCACCAATCCTGATGCCACGATTCTCCTCATAGAGCCCAGCCTCCCAGATAATCTGTTCTGCATACATGTTGAAAAGGTATGGAGACAGGATGCACCCCTGGCGTACGCCCTTCCCAATTTTGAACCATGCGGTGTTACCCTGCTCTGTTCTGACTACTGCCTCTTGGTCCAAGTATAGGTTTTGCATTAGCACAATTAAATATTCTGGGATTCCCATTCTTCTCAGAGTCAGCCACAGTTTATTATGATCCACTCAGTCAAATGCCTTTGCATAATCAATGAAACACAGATAGACAATGTTAGAGTAGTGAAGTGGAGCAGGATAGGGCAAGATTCGGATCTGTTGTTTATAGGGTTGCTATGAGTGGTACTCAGTGATACCTAACAGCAACAGAGTTTTACAGAGGTAGACCTCCAGCCTTTCTCCTGAGGAACAGCTGCTAAGTTTGAACTGACAACCTTTTGGTTAACAACTATGTACTTAACCTTTATGCCACCAGAGTTCCTTCAGTTTTCTAGTATTATTTACCGTCAAGTTGGAAGTGACTCATAACTGACCCTCTGCACTAATTCTTTTTAATTATATTTCATACATGCATATCTGGCTTTCAGAGATAATTTGCACATGAAACCTTTGCTTCCACTATAGAATGAAAGATTTATGTTTGCCCTTTGACCTTTTTTTCTTTTCCCCCTCCTTTTTGTGTGGAGTTGGACCACCTTGGTTCAAATCCTGGTTCGAGAACTTAGTGGCTTTGTACCTTAGGCTGTCATATCTTGGAAACCAAGCGTAAGCAACGACATCTGGGGAGAGAAGAGATTAAATTCAAAGCCAGAGTATCTTAACCTAACATCTTTACCACCAGAGAATTACAATATTTTATCAAAAGGGTGACGTCTTTTAGGTGTTTTAGGCAGATCTTTCTGAAAGCTGTACAACCTACAGGGGATGTTTGCAACTTAAGCCAGTGAACTGATAGAGCATGTGAAGAAATGGAGTTTCAATCATAGACTCGAGGCTTTGATAGCTGATGAGTGAGGAGTAGGCATAGGGAAGATGATTGAGAGTTTTGTGTCTTTGAGACACAGTAAATTCCTTCATTACCTTATTTGATCATTGCAGATTCACAGTACCCACAGACTCAGTGACTTTCCTTAGGCCACTGCATTTAAAAAAAATTTTATTGAAGCCTTAAATTCTCTTGGAGGTGAATCAACTCAGATGCGTGGTGTGGTCATGTGTGAATGTGCCCTATAGAGTATCACCAGGTGTTTCTTCTGAGGGGTGTAACTCTGGTGGTGTAGTCCCTAGGGAATTGTACTGATGAAAGTTCAAATGGGCAACTTCCTCCCAAGCAATTCACAGCTTCTGAAAACCCACTGGACAGTTCTGACTTGACAGCAGTGAATTTGAGTTCAAGGTGGTGTTTTCTTCTTTGGGACCTCTGGGTGTGGACTCACTTCCACCCTTTTGGTTAGCAGCTGATTGTGTTGACCTTTAGTACCAACCAGATTCTCCGTTGAGACTTTGTTAGTTGCTGTGGAGTCAGTTTTGACTCAAGGTAAACCCATACACAAAGAGTATGGTTTTAGAACCATATCTCTAGGCCTGTCTCCAAACGAGTCTTTTGGTGGGTTTGAACTGTCATCCTTTTGGCTAGTAGTTGAGCATTTAGTCTGCATTACCCAGGGTTCTACATAATAAATACGTAACAGAAATGCAGGCTTTAGAGAAAGTAGAAGGCTATTTATTGACAGGTGGACGTTTCTTGATTTCCAGAAAATCTAGTAGTCCCTTTGATGTAAGCAGTGTTCACTCTAATATTTTTTACATCAAACAAATTATGAAAGCTCAGAACATCTGACTGGAGTTTAATGTTGTTAGGGAAAAGATTTTACAGCAGTTCTAGTAATAAGAGTTTTAATGATGACTGTTGGCTGCTTAAGAGTTGGAGGAAAAGCAAGCAGTTTGCATTACTAACTGCACTAGTTTTGTTTCTTTGTTACGTTTTTCTGCCCTGGTGGCATGGTAGTTAAAGCTGCTATCCAAAAGGTCCTTGAGCTCTGTCCTCTCCTGTGCCATCTTTATCACATCTGACCCACTTGAGAACATTGCTGCAGTCACCGTGTCAGTCTATCTCATTGGGAGTCTTCCTCTTTCACTAACTTTCCACCTTTCCAGGCATGATGTCCCTTTCCAAGGAATAGCCTCTCCTAGCAACAAACTCAAAGTATAACTGATGAAGTTTTGTCATCTTTGCCTCCAAGGACTCTGGATCCACTTTTCCTAAGACATTTATGTTTATTCTTTTGGCAATCCATAATCAGTACTTTTCTCTAACATCACAACTCAGTTTCTAACAAGTTGCAAAGGGCTTAGACTACCTTCCAAGAACTCCAGGAAAGAATATTCAAAGAAAACCTCAGAGTAAATTTGCCTCTGGTGACAGAAATTGCACTGCCAGCCCAAAGGCAGTTCGACCCCGCCAGCTACCCTGTGAGAGAAAGATGGGCCCTTCCTCTCATGCTATTTACTGCCTCTAAAAAACCTAGGAGAGGGTCGACTCTGAGCTGGTTCCAACTAGACAACAATCAATTCTAACTGGGGGAGGAGGATTTTAATATTGGGATATTTGTAAAGAACAAAGGAATTTTGCCAAAATAGAGGATAAACGTTTGCAGGTACTTAAATTCCTACTGAAGATTGTTGTGTTGTTGTTAGGTGCCTTTGGGTAGACCATGAGTCATGAGGACCCTGTGAACAACACATTGAAACTTTGCCCTATCCAGCATCTTCCTCCTGATTTCCACCATGCCTGAGTCCATTGATAGTCACTCTGTCAATCTGTCTTGTGTTAAGGGTCTTCTTCTCTTTCACTAGCCCTCTGCCTTTTCCAGCATAATGTCTTTTTCTAAGAAAGAGCCCCTCCTGACAACATGCCGAAAGTATGTGAGGCAAAGTTCCACCATCCTTGCGTCTTAAGGAGCACCCTGGTTGCACTTCCTCCAAGACAGATTGGGTTGTTCTTTTAGCAGTCCACAGTGATACTCAGTTCTCTTTGCCAACTCCACAATTTAAAGGCATTGATTCTTCTTAGAGCTTTCTTATTCCTTGTCCAACATTCAGATGCATAGGAAGCAGTAGAAAATACACTTGGGTCTGGTGCACCTTAGTTTTTAAGCTGACACACTTACTCTTTAGCATTTTGTAGAGGTCCTTAATAGCACATTTTCCCAGTGCAGCACATCATTTGTTTTCTTAACTGTTGCCGTCACGGGAGTTGATAGTGAATCAAAGTAAAATGAAATAGTTGACACCTTGTTTTTCTCTCATCTGTCATGATGTTGCCTATTGGTCCAATGATGAAGACTTTTGTTTTCTTGATATTAAGATACAATCTATACTGAAAGCTGTAGTCTTGAACTGACAATTAGTTCAGTAAATATTTTTTAAATTGTATTTCTTTTTAATTGTTAGACACTTCCATCTAATGTATATTAATGTATATTGCCTTGTCATGTGTCTTGTCATAATTTAAGTTAAATTTCTTCCTTTAGAAATATTAGCAAGTACTTGTCAGATGTAAACATACCTGACCTGCCAAGAATATCTTACTTCTTTGCTTGCTGCTAAAATAAATTGAAATGATTATTTAGCTATTTTATTAACATCATTTAATGAGGAGAGGTGTAGTTTATAACATTGATTATCTTTGTATAAAGATGTGCCCTAAACATAATATTGAAATTAGGAAAAATATTTAAACTTTTCAGTTCATATTAAACTTTTATGTGTGTCTATGCAGAAGAATATTGAATTTACCATGGACTGCTAGGAGTACAAATAGGTTCATCCTAGAGAGGGTAAGACCAGATTGCTCCTTGAAGGCAAGGATTCTGAAGCTTCCTTTGATATACTTTGGACATGTTACCAGTACTTGGAGAGGGACATCATGCTCAGAAGGGTAGAGGTTCAGCACAAGAGAGGAAGACCTTCAATGAGATGGATTGTTTCAGTGACTGGGGTAATGGGGTAGGTGTATCAGAGACAGTAAGATTGGCACAGGTTAGAGCAGGGTTTAGGGCTATTGTACATAAGGTTGCTATGAATCACAGGTAATGTGATGGCACATAACAACAACATGGTTTTGTATTAAAACCTTGTCTATATTAACCTGTAGCAGTGTACCTGCTGGAACTTTGTATAACAGGGAATGTTTTCCTGTTTACAGCTCCTGTTCGACACAGTGGAAACCATGGGAAAAGACTATTTGTCATCAAACCTTCTGGATTCTATGACAGGCGTTTTTTAAATTTACTAGTGAGTTAAACACTTTTACTGAACTGATCTCTTTACAGATAGGTTGGGAATTTTGGACGTTTCTTTTTACCTGTTTGGGAAACATATTTAATAGACTATTTTATTTCATAAATTCATATTTCTTTTCTCAGAAGATACTGAAATGTTACTAAAATATGTTACTCAATCTTTCCATAATTAAGCAAACTTTTAAGAAAATTATGGCAGTTAAAGATAAAACTTGAATCATTCCTTTCTTCCCAAGATAATGGAGTTTCAAAATTAAATCAGTGTAAAAAGAACAAGATTTGCAAAGTGAAAACTTTGAAAATAGATTCATTTCAGAATCATTTCAGTTATTTGTATAACTAAAATATTCTTTAAGTTATAGAACTCACTGAAATATTTCTGTATATAAAGAGCTCCTTGGTTTTTAATTTGTTGTTGTTTTTATGTGCTGTCAAATTGCCTGTGACTCAGAGCGACCCTATGTACAACAGCTCTGAAGCCTATCCTATACTGAGCCAGTCTCACTGACTCGGACACATCTACCTTTATTACCCTAGTAACTGTATCAATCCATCTCATCTGGGGTCTTCCTCTCCTGCACTGTCCCTCTACCTTTTTGAGCATGATGCCCTCCTCCAAGGACTGGTCTCTCCTGGCCACATGCCCAAAGTATGAGAGATAGAGCTTCAAAATCCTACCCTCCAAGGAGAAACTTGGTTTCATCCTTTCCAGAAAAGACCTATTTGTTTTCATGGTGGTCCATGGTATGTCCCAGACTCTTCTCCAGCACCACAACTCAAAGGCATCTATATATATGTTGCTTTTTATAGGAGCTCTGGTGGTGCTGTGTTAGTTACTCTTTCATCTTCTAACCAAAGTCAGTGGGTCAATCCTACCAGCTTTAAGGGAGAAAGATGAGGTAGTCTGCTTTTGTTAAGATTGACAGCCTTGGAAATCTTCTCGGCCTTGTCCTGTAGGGTTGCTCTAAGTCAGAATCAGCTCAGTGACTGTGAGTTTAATGTTTGCTTTTTCATTTTGGTTGCTCTCTTAATTTGTTTACATATTTTCTAAGCATTATTATGAAATCAAGAATATTGATTTTTTTTCTTTTTAGCAAGTAAAGCATGCCCATTTGCAGTTATAATTTAGCAGCAGTATAATAATCACATTGTCTTTGTGTCTCAAGACTATCAGAACAAACTGTTTCTAAAGCAATAAATCACCATGTGAGCTCTGTGCGGTCTCCTCTTGTGCTTATCACCCCCCTTATTGAAGTCCTAGTTTTCTTGCATAACCAACTCCTAGCATGGTGATGGAAATTTCTCTGGTACTTTTATTCCTCTTCTTTATGTAAAATTTTCTAATCTTAATTACATTGCTATAACCAAAAGATGAAAATCCATTGTTACTGTTAATCACATACTGTATTATATCTGTATAATTGCATAATTAAAAGCATCATGCTTCACTGATGTTATTTCTGGTCAATCGATTTTTTCCTCTACATCCCTCAAGTTACAGACTTTTCTTAATTCTTACTTTTCCACCTTCTTTCTGGTACTAAATATTAAAAAATCAAACCCAGCTCACTGCCATCAACCCAAGTCCAAATCATAATTACCCTCCCTTGGACTTCTGAGGCTCTAAATCTTTACACCAGAAGATGCTGCCCATATTTATCGTGGTGAATTTGGACAATTGGCCTTCTAGTTATCAACCAACATGTTACAGATTATGCCAGTAGACTCTGTGGTACTAAAATACCTTTGCTGCTGTCAGATTAAGCTCAATTTGAGCTTGGATTACCCATCTTTCTCCATCTTGGCCTTCATGTTCAAAAGCACAGTTCCCTTCTGACTGTGCCATCAAAGCCCCTTTATTATAAATTTTTTTGTTGTTGTTGTTTACTGTCAAGTCAGAACCAACCCATAGCTGACCCTCTGGCAGGTTTTCAGATGCAGTTCATCACATGGGAGGAGACTGCCCATCCTTCTCCTGTAGAGCGGCTGGGGGCCTTGAACTGCGGTCCTTAGGGATTGCAATGCATCTTCTTGCCACTAGGCCACCAGAACACCCTATATAGACACTTAAAAACTAGCCCCCCAAAAATCAGTAATTTGATACTACATTTCCAATTTGGCTAATTTATTTTATAAGAAATATAATAATACATATGAGAGTAGTGAAAGAGAAAGTTAGAAAATGGTCATGTGAAAAAAAATTTTTTTTTCTTGACAGAAATTCTACATTTTGTTGACTGGGATTCCAGTAGCAATTGGCATAACTCTGATAAATGTATTCATTGGTAAGTCCTCCACAGTTTTAGTTGGTAAATTTTAAAGCATGTGCACCTTACTAAAAGTGAAACTATAGCTGTTATATATCAAATAACAAGCTTAAGCGTGGAGATTTAATTTTAAGTATATAAATCTTCATCTGCAATAGTGTGAAATGTGTTTTTAACATACCTTGTGTTTTGCTCCAAAAACCTGTGGGGGTCATTGCTTCCATGTAGAGGCCACACAGAAGGCTTTAGAAAGCCTCTTCTTCATCATATCCCTATACCAGCTTTGATGAATCTGAGGAAGAGATTAAAAAGAGACAGAAAGAGAGAGACTGAAAGAGAGTTGTGTTTTTTAAAAAAAATCTGTCCTGCAATTGGTAAAATTATAATCATCTTTTAAAAAATACAGTTGTCAGTCACTGGAAACATTAGATTTTTTGAGAAAGTCTATCACAGTACTTCTTGAACTTTGCATATTGAAATGTTGTGGGATTTCTTTGGTTTTTTTTTTTAATTTTTGTGTGAGTGTACTGTCAAATCAGATCAGACTGGTACAGGAGGAGATTGTCCCTCCTTTCCCGGCAGAGTGAAATGTTTTTATCTAGTAGGAATAGAGAAAGCCAGAAGGAATGTCTTTAGATAATTCCTTTACACCAAAGACATCAAAAATATGTCTAGTGAATGAATACCTCACTGATTTTAACCAGATTGAAGTGAACTTAGAACATCATATTTCTGTTGGTTACAAAAAAAAAGAGTTCTTTGAAACGACAAGAAGTTGATCTTTAAGCTGGTTATAATTTGATCCAGACAGACCTTGAAAAAGCATAGTGTTCAAGCAGACTTTTATTAGTTGAGCTAAACTGTAATTTGATCTTAAGACTTAAGGGGATAATTTTGGCTTAAAGTTTAAAGATTATTTCAGGGAAATACTGTAAACATCTGATTTTGAAATTGAACATTGCTGTCTTCTCTTATTAGGTGAAGCTGAATTAGCAGAAATTCCAGAAGGCTATATCCCTGAACATTGGGAATATTACAAGGTTAGTATAAGACATTAAAAATGTCTTTCTGTCAGGTTTCTTGTCAATGCACTGCTAATGTCTTTATTAAGCAATTTAAAATTTTTGTATTAGTTTTTGATACCAAGTAAATAGATGATCCCTTCTCTCTCTCTCTCTCTCTCTCTCTCTCTCTCTCTCTCTGTTTTATAAGCAACTTCTCTCAGTACTTTTTTCCCAGTGCTTTCATTAGTCCAAGTTTCTGGTTTTCAAAAGAATGACCCTAAAAAAAAAAAAGAATGACCCTGAAATGTGTTCTTGACCTATCCAAGTAATGTTATTCTTAGATGACTTCAAATCAAGTTAGAGCAACCCCTTGAACCCTGTGCCATCCTTGTCATCACTGACATACCTGCTGAAGTCATTATGTCAGTCTCATTGTGGATCTTCTTCTCTTTTGCAGAAATAGAAGTCATAGAAAATAATAGTCATATTTTATCCTAAGTTCAAAGTCATGGGAGAGATCTGACAGAGTTGACTCTTGTACAACACAAAGGTTAGGGATTCTAGCCTCCAGAATAGTCTAAAATCCCAGTTTGACTGGGATATAGTTGACTCTTTTTTCTTTTTCTTTTTAGTTGAGATTTTAATGAAAGTTTATAGAGAACTTGGATTTCCATTCATTCATTGTTGCACGTTTTCCTCCCTGTCCACCCGCTCCCCCAGTTCACTTTTCTCTTTGGGAAAAAAAAATTCTTCCATTGTTTTACAATTCCCCACCTCACTCCTCTTTACTATGCAGCTCTTATTCTGGACTGTTGTCATAAAAATAATACCTAATCATATATTCCTTTTAATCATATATTCCTTTCTCACATCTGTTTCAATGCAGTGTACGTTATTTATCCCCTCTTTTTTTAGTTTCCCCCCAACCCCAATGTCAGTCCTGTTTTATAACAGGGGCATTATGCAGTATTTGTCCTTTTGTGACTGAGCTATTTCACTCAGTATCCAGGGTCACCCATTTTGTATAATACTTCATGAGTTCCTTGTTTTTCACTGATGCATAGAATTCCATTATGGAATAGACCACAGCTTCCCTATCCATTCATTTGTTTATGGGCACTTGGGTTATTTCATCTCTTCACTACTGTGAACAGTGCAGCAATAAACATGGGTATGCATATATCTGGTTGAGACAGTTGACTCTTAGACACTTGAACAGTTTTCACATTCAAGATTTCTAGGTTCAAGATACATAGATATATTTTCCCCTCTTATTGCTATTGTGGTGGGTTCACATGTTACAAATATTCATATAAAATACATTGTGATGCTAATCATCTCCATAAAACAGTTCACCTCTTCGGTAATTTTAGGCAATAAGAGACGAACTGTTCACAGAGCTGATTAATGTCATGTGTTTAATAAGATGGTCTTAAATACAGAATTGATGTTTATTATCTGAACAACATGTTTAGAAAAGAAACATTCCATTATTAGATATTTTGGAAGAGATGAATCATATGGTTTATCTTTGCTAACTGATGGAAAGAGCTCTTTTTAGATCATCAAATTGTAGATCTGGCTCTTAGACTTACACTTAAGACATTCAGCTTAATTTAATGGGTGAGTGTGCAGTCTTCGGAGTTAAGACAGGCCAGGTTTGGGTCCAAGTGCCACTTCTTACTAGCAGTATAAGTTTGTAGTTTCCTTATCTCTACAGTTGGGGTAAAAATAGCATCCATCTACTGTTTAATGTTTAAAATAATGAAAGTTGCTGGCATTTAGTAGATTTGGTAAACCATAAGAAAAGCCAAATATTGTTCAGATTTCAAATGACTCCTCTCTTATAGCATCCTATCTCAAGATGGATTGCCCGTACTTTCTATGACTGTCCTGAAAAGAATTATGAAAAAACAATGGCTGTCCTTGAAATTGAAGCTGAAAAGGCTGAGCTACGGTAAGTAAAAAAAAAACAAAAAACAAAAAAAAACCAAAGCGAGGGGCAAGAGGAGGGGAGGTGCAAGCAAGAAAATTCTTATTTTGTGTTGCAAACTCAAAGAAAGAAAATTGTTTAAGACTGTTTGAACACTATAGGATGCTCCATGTAAAAAAAATGAAGGTAGAAAGGAGACTTTACCTAATTGAAGATTATGAATTGGAGACTAGGAGTCTTTAGTCATTGTTAGGTGCCGTCGAGTCACTTTCAGCTCATGACAGTAGTTCCTGCTATTATTGCTGTACTGTCCTCACAGCGTTGCAACATCTGAGCTTATTCTTGTTGCCATTGTGTTACTGCTTCTTTGTAAGGATCGTCCTTCTACTCTGCTTTCCTACTTTTCTACGCATGATGTCCTTCTCTAGCAATTAGACCCTGCTGATGATGTATGCAGAGTAAGCCAGACTCTGTCCATACTTTCTCCTAAGGGCCTGTGCAGTGTACAGGACTGATCTCTTTATCTGCCTACTATCTCTGGTAAATAGAACGTTCTTTGCTAACACCTGAATTTGAATACATCATTTTCTCTTTGATCTTCTTTTCTGATTGTCCTGCTTTTGCGTGCGTAAGTGTTGATTGAAAATACCATGTCAAGGCACACTTTGGTTATTGAAGGGACATCTTTGCTTTTTAGTATTTTAAGGAGAGTTCCTGAGTGTAAGATGTTTGTTTTCTTAGCTGCTGTTTTCATGGGCATCATTTGTTGATCCAGGTGAAATTAAATTCTTCAGAACTTCAGTTTCTTCACTGTTTATCATGATATTATTTATGAGGATTTTTGTTTTCTTCACATTTAATTGTAATCTGTACTGAAGCATGTAGTCTTTTACCTTCTTCAGTAAATGCTTAAAGTAGTCTTTATTTTCAGCAAGCAAGGTTGTGTTACCTGCAATCACCTATTCTTAAAAGAATCTTTCTCCCATATTGATGCCAAGTTCCTTTTCATATCATCTCTCTTCTCTGATAATTTAATCAGTATGTTTTTGTTGTTATGTGTCGCGTCACCTGCGATTCATTGCAACCCTAAGTACAGCATGGTTGTTGATAGTGGATCCAAGTCACATTAAATCCTTGACTACTTTAGACTTTTCTCCCTTTATCATGATATTGGCTGTGCATCCAGTTGTGAGGATTTTTGTATTCTTATTGCTGAGGTGTAATCTGTACTGAAGGCCATAGTCTTTGATCTTCTTGAGTAAGTGCTTCAGGTCCTCATCACTTTTAGCAAGCAGAATTGTGTCATCTGTGTATCATAAGTTGTTGATGAATCTTCCTCTAATCTTGATACCACATTCTTCTTCTATAGTCTAGCCTCTCAGCATACACATGGAATAGATATGGTTTCATATTCTATTTGATCATATTTCTTTGGAATGGACATAGATACATATCTCTATCAGTTGGTTAGTCTAGTAGCAACAAAATCTTCCAGAAGACGTAGTCAAGTAAGTGCTTCCAGGAGGAAACTCTTACAGGTAAGAATCTCTGGAATGAAAACAAATTCTCTTTAATCCCCTTCCACAATTTTCTTTACTCTTGCAATTGTATCTTTAAATGTGACCTCTGTTAAATAATTTCTTTTGCATATTCTTAGGGAGAAAAGTGAATGAAAAGCTTATAGGTGTTTAAAAATACATTCATACAAGTGGGTTAATTTTTTAAGTAACATTCTTTTATATTTTTTATTTATTTCACATAAGATACCTGTTGATATTTCCATAACATTTATCTAAATTTTGTATGACTGCAACATATATTTCATTAGGTAAATCTTAATATTTTTAACTAGTTTCCCATTTTGGTATTTATGTTCTTCCTACATTTGTGCTGTTTTGCATAATACTCTGGTGACTATCTCATATTTTCCCATGCTTATGCAGCATCTCTCGGGAACTCTGGTAATGTAATAGTTAAGATACTTGACTGCTAACCAAAAGGTCAGCCATTTGAACTCACCATCTGCTCACAGGGAGAAAGATGAACAGCTTCCATAACAATTACAGCCTTAAAACCCTGAGGAGCAGTTTCTGCTTTGTCTTATAGGTTAGAATTGACTCAGTGGTGTGCAATAGATGTAGAATATAAGTTTCCAGAAGTGGTACAGATAAGCCAGGTGGCATACACTTGTTAGTTCTGAATCGGTTGCCAGACTCTTCTTGAAAAAATTACACCACTTGTCCTGTCCTTTCACAGTACATTCTTTTTCCTATGTCTCCCTGTCCTTATTGCCATACTTCTTGATAAGTTTCGTTTTTCAAACTTAAGCATCTTTGCTGATATAATAGTTTAAAAATGTTATCATCATTTCAGGTTTGGATTTCTTTGTGAAGCTGAGTATTTTTTTCCATGTATCTTTTGGTTGTTGTTTCTCTTTCTTTCTCTGTAAATTGCTCATTTCATTTGTGCAGTTAGTAAATGAGCCCCTTTGCAGCTTAGCCTAAAGTTGGCTGTTTGTTTTTTGTGTGTGTGTGCGTGTACCGTCAAATCAGATCTGACTGGTACAGGAGGAGATTGTCCCTCCTTCCCCGGCAGAGCATCTGGTGGATTTGAACCGTGCGCCTCTGGGATTGTAGTTGCAGCTCCTTGCCACTAGGCCACCAGAACTCCCCTAAGTTGGCTGTTTTTAGGCATTAAAGTTAGCCCCCTCTGATCTTCAGCTACCTTAATTATGGTCTTGGAGATCACCAACAGCTCTGAGCTTAGGATAAGAGAAAGAGTGCTTCCCACGCTGGAGCAAGACCCTAGTTAATGGTGGTAGAGAGACTGTGCATTGCTACAGAGATTGTGGAGAAACCATGGCAAGTTATAAGCAGAGGAGCCCTGTGTTAAAGGTTTTTGCTGTTCTTGCCAGATGCTTAAAGAAGCTGACTTACAACTGCTCTGAGGCAAACCTTGCTGGATGATTGGGATTTAACTACTGAACTGAAACCAGATCCAGGACTAATTGAGGAATTGTGCCTTAGAACTTGGGCTAAAACCTGGACTTGTTTTGGGTGATACTCTTTTTCTTTCCCTACTCTCCAACTTAACTTTTCTCATAAACTCCATTCTCCATCCACAACTGTGAGTCAACAACAAATAAAAGAACCTCCTGCTGCTGATATAGCTCTAGAGGGACCATGGGTCTGGGCTCTCTGCTCTTTAGCTGCTTTCTGCTCTGGGACAGTGAGGGGCTGGCTCTCACTCCCTATGACCCTTTCAGAGAGCCGTTTACTGCCCTATGTCCCATTTTTTCTTCTTTAGACACCCTCTTTTTTTAGTTGTAGATATATTTTTCCAACTTGTCATTTCTCTTTGGGAGTGTTGATTTTTTTTTTTTTTTTTGCAACAAGCAAGTATTTTTCTTTTGTGATAATGATATTGGTGTTGTTAGTTGCCATTGAACCAGCAGTCTCACACAGAACTTGCTTCATATTCGTGTTAGTCATTTTATACATATATTCATTTCAATTATTGCCACATCTTCTATTATTTAAAAATTAAATATAACAAAATGTTTTAATATACCCACTCCTGTTTTCTTTTGCTACCTTTAAATTTGAACTAATCAGAGCATAGTTTACATATAGTAAATCTCACCCACTATCACTAATAAATTTTTAATCCAGTTGTGTACTTGTGTGATCCCTGCCACAATTGAGATCCTTTTGATCACCCAGATGCTTCAGGCCATTACCGATCAGCTTTCACCTCATCCTCTTTTTCTTTTTAGATTTATTATTAATTTCAGTGAAAATTTATAGAGACTTTGGATTTCCAGTCATTCATTGTTGCACTTTTCTCCCTTCCCAACCCTCCCCCCCACCCAGTACACTCCCCTCTTGGAAAAGTAAAAGAAAAATTCTTTCATTGTTTTACAATCCCTCCCCCCAGGTCCACTCCACCATGTAGCCTTCTCTCTAGACTCCTGTCATGACAAAAAATACCTAATAACATACTCCTTTTAAAACAGTTTTCTCCCTCATCTGTTTCAATGCAGTATACATTATTGAACCCATCTTTCTTTCTCAGTCTCCCCCCAACCCCGATGTCAGTCCTGTTTTACAACAGTAGCACTATGCAGTATTTGTCATTTTGTGACTGACGTATTTCACTCAGCATAATGTCCTCCAGGATCACCCATTTTGAATAATATTGCATGAGTTCCTTGTTTTTCAGTGCTGCGTAGTATTTCATTGTGTGAATATACCACAGCTTCTCTATTGTTTGTTGATGGACACTTAGGTTGTTTCCAACTCCTTGCTGCTGTGAACAAAGCCATGATTAACTGGGTGTGCCTCTCATCCTCTTTTGAGCTCTAGAGCTCATTAAATTGATAATGATAATGAGAAGTACTAAATCACAATGTTGCTCTCCATTTGTTCCAGGTTGAAGGAGCTAGAAGTACGAGCATTAATGCGTGCGAGAGGTGACGGACCCTGGTATCAGTATACAACTGTTGATAAGGCACTTATTAATCATTCTCCAAAAGCAACTCCCGACAACTAATCTTATTTTTTTCCAAATACAAAGTGTATTCTCTCTTGTGAGAATAAATTATAATAAATCTGTTCTGTATTTTTTTTCTCTCTGCAATGAATAAGCTCCTCATTGCTCTCTTTCTCAGTACTGGTGCCAATTAAGGCTTTTGATTTCCAAATTTTTACTTAATCTTTTATTCACTTAACTACTGAAGGCAGCTAAGTGTCAGGGAGTGTAACAACTTGCACACATTTGTGTTATGGATTATTCAGTGGTACTTAGGATTTTAAATTGCATGAGAAGTATCGAATCCATTTTTTAAATAACTCCATAAGAAAAAAATATTTGAAAATGCCAATCTTTAAAGTTTATGGTTTTCAGTTTTTAATCACATGTATTTGTTGTTGCTGTTGTTATGTGCTGTCAGATCACCTGAGACTCTTAACGACCCTAAGTACAACAGCTCTGAACCCTGCTGTATCCTTGTTGTCACACACCTACCCCCTTTACCCTGGTTACCAAGTCAGTCCATCTCATCGAGGGTCTTCCTCTCTTGCACTGTCCTTCCACCCTCTCAAGCATGATGACTCTTTCCAAGGACCAGTCCCTCCTTGCAACATGTCCAAAGTATGTCAGATAAAGTTTGAGAATCCTTGCCTCCAAGGAGCAGCCTGGTTTCACTCTCTCGAAGACAAACCTGTTTGTTTTCCTAGCAGTCTATGGTTAATTCAATAGTCTTCTCCAGCATAACAGCTCAAAGACATTAAGTACTTTTAAAAAAAATCTAGTGTATATTTTTCCTAGATGCAGTCTTTTAAGATTCCTTACAGTGCTTTTTTTAAGTAAATACTGCAGAAGTTGTTGCGTGGGGTAAAATGATTGCTTATAGATCAAGCATTTACAGTACTGTGTTAAAGATTTTTTTTTGCATATTATTTAAAAGATGATGTTGTGATTCTTGTTGTATGTCTGATGTTGTGTATCTGATTCTTTTAAATAAGAAGTCTATGGTTTAAGGATAGTTAAATACATACTTAGTATTTACAGTAATATGCATTTAAAACATTTATTTAACATATTTACATATTAAAAAAAATAATAATTTAAATACTCAAAGGAGCCTGTTAGCTTCAAGCATTGATTTTCAAGCCTGTTATTTCAAGCCTATCATTGTATTTGTGAAAGGAAAAGTAAACCCAGGTCTCTCTAAAGTCAGGCCAATGGCTGTACAATGTACTCACTTCAAGGCCAGTTAGAGAATTCAACTTTGCTTTCTAAACAAATGAGACAGGAAATAAAGGCTCCTGGGTGGGTGCATTTTCTTATTTCCCCAGAAGAGGACTGCTATACTCTCTGTGGAAGACAAATTCATAACTGACCCTCTAGTAGGTTTCAGGGGCTGTAACATTCATTGCCCCTCTTTCTCCCAAGGAGCCAGTGGTAGATGTGAACCTCCAAGAAGCACAGCAGGCTATACTATCAGAGCTCCCTGCCACATTCTGATATTCATACATTTTATGCAGAAGATTTAACTGCAATCTAAGAACTCAAACCAAAACCATTGCAGTTGAATAGATTCTGACTCAACAACCTTATAGGACAGAGAAAAACTGCCTAAAGAGTTTTCAAGACTGTAAACCTCTGTAGAAGCAGACTGACTCATCTTTCCCCCATAGAACTTGGGTTGAAACTCATCTTTTCAGCTGGCTGTCCAGTGGTTAAAATAACACCATATAGAATGATTGTAAACCACTATCTGGAGTGGGTCGAGGGGCTTCTTGCAAACCAGTTGTTGTTGATAAGTGCTATTGAGTTGAATACAATTCATAGTAATCCTGTGAACAATGAATCTGAACCCTGACCCTCTCATCTCTGACCAGCTTGAGTCCTGTAACAGTCACTGGGTCAGTCCATCACGTTGAGGGTCTTTCCCGCCTTAGCTTATCCTCCACCTTTCCAAGCATGGTGTCTTTTACCAAGGCCTGGCCCCTCCTAACTAACAACATACTCACAAAGTGTGTGAGACAAAGTTTCACTATCCTTGCCTCCAAGGAACACTCAGCTTGTAACTTTTCCAAGACATTTGTTTGTCCTTTTCATTATTCTGCAGGAGGAGTTGAAAGAAAGCAATAATATTTCTACACCAATGTTCATACCAGCATTATTCACAATCACAAGAACATAGAAACAGCCCAAATATCCAGTCAAAATCAAATGAATTGAGAAATTGTGCATTCATATGGTGGAATACTATGCAGCACTCAGGAGCAACGATTTTGAATATTACTACTTAACATAAGACAGACGTGAGAACATTGTGCTAAGTGCATTAACTCAGTCTCAGAAGGACAAATACTGCGTTAGACCATTATGTAGAAATAGATAACTGGTAAAAGGTGTATGAGGATCCAAGAGGGGGAGGGTGGGAGCAGAGGGCTGAGGATAGGCAGGTGGAAGATCACGGGGTCACACAGTTTGGTAGGTGGAGGGAGGGGATAAGGGAAATGAGAAAGATCCAGCAGGAATCTGAAAAGATGGGGAAATAGTGGGCATAGTCCAATGGTGATTATAAACACAATTTATGGGAATGTTTGTAAGAATGTGAATGAAGGATATTATAAAGCACAATATATATGAATTTTGTATACAAACCAATTTAAAATATGTTTTTAAAAGAATAATAATATATGAGACCTTTCATTTTCTAAGAGTAAGAAAGCAAGTAAGCATTTAAAGTAGTGACTTTAACTGATGCTGCATATGTATATATCTTTTTAAATTTTTTAAGACCTTGCCTTTCATTTCACTCCTTATTTTACGCCTTTTTTTTTCCTTTTTTTTTTCTATTATAGTGTAGTAAAAGATCAACATGGAAAATATTGTAAGAAATGCTGGTAATCTGACCACCATAAAAAATTTAGAGAACTTTTTTTTTGTCTTATTTTTACACTTAGCTCATACCAAAAAAATGAAGATGTTGAATTGGCTTTTTTAACATTATGAATGTATTTTCTTTAAATCTGTAATAAAGCTAACGTGTGTGTGTGTGTGTATGTGTGTGTGTGTGTGTGTGTGTGTGTGTGTGTTTGTTTCTACCAGTTTTTATGCAAACATATTTCCAGTTTTAAAAACTCTTTTTATTATGTATCAGCTCACTGCTGTGGAGTCAGAACTGACTCTGGCCTGATGCTCCGTTGGGTTTTCAGGGCAGAGGAGATTGATGGTAGGAAGCTGCTGGTGGATTCAAACTGTCATAGAGGTGTAGTCTTTGGCTTAGCAGTAAAACTCCCTGTTAGGCTAAGAATCAGAATGGAGGTTGAAGCTCAACTCAGAAATCTACATCAGGACATTTTCCCAAACCAAAACTCAGAAAATCCTGTGTCAGAGTATTTTCCAAAACCAGAAACTTTGTGCACCAATGAGCTACTGCAATGTCAACTCATCTCACAACCCCCTAAAACACACTTGCTAAGCCCCATATAAGCCCCCCTAAGCCCAACCCTCAGTGTTACTCCCCTTGCTGAGTAGCCCAGGGTGCAATAAACGTGAGAAATGTTTCTGCATCAGCGTGGTTCTTGGCTTCGATCTGAAACCTTTCATCTGGTGCTGAACCTGGGCAGGAGAACACCCAAACTGGATGATCCCTCCTGGTCAATTGGCCCTTCAGATGCCTCCTTCCTGTGCCTGCTGAGAACCTGCTGACAGCAAGATCTCCCTACAGGTAAGTGGAGATTCTTTGAGTCTAACTTGACTCGTTTTCTCTTTCTCAAAGTCCAGGCCTGGCAGAGTAGACTCCCCATGTCCCACCCCTGTCAGCATCCTTTGACTGGATTTGGTGACTTTTCCCATGGAGTCCTGTCTGGCACAGGGGATGCACTTGCCTTTCAGACTACTCTCTTACTCTCTGCCCCTGTCATGGGTTCTGACCCATCTAAGCCATCTAAATCTACTCCCTTAGGCTGTCTCCTTGCCAACCTTTGGCCCTTGGGATTGGAGGAATATGTCAAACCAAAAAACTTAAGCTTCGTACCCAAACCTTTCGTTCATAGGGTCGCTATGAGTCGCCTACGACTCGACAGCACTTAACAACACAGACAGAGACCTAGTGGACAGAAAGTGATGCTACCAAGCCAAAGGTGAGTGACTCTAATCCGCGGCCCTGCCTGTTTTAAGTTGGCCAAACATTCCTCTAGGTCGTATAGCCCTCGTGTGTTTACTTGCCGTACAGAGGTAACGTCGTGGCTGTGAAGCTGAACTGTGACACTGATGTGTCAAATGCGTTAACGGTTACCCATGGTGGACAGTGTTTGGTGGAGCTCGCCGATTAAAACACATTTGGAAGCCGGAGTAGCATCTACTTCCAAAATAGCTTGCCTCCGGAAACCCTATGAACCTGGAGAAAGGATGAAAGTCACACACACAGGTGTTGAGGACTTTCATTCATAGGGTCACTATGAGTCGCCTATGACTCGACGGCACATAACAACCACCACCACCACCACCCAAATCTGGCTAACTTTTGCAAGTGAACTGGTAAAGCTGGTGAAATTCCTTATGTCCAAACCTCTGCTTTCCGCCCTCCCTCCTTAAGTCCTGCCACACCCACCAAGTTCTTCAGGCTGAAGATTCCCCTGCTTCTCCTATTTTCCTCTCCCTTTGTCTCCACCACAAACCCTCCTAACTTCCACAACTCTATCCCTCAATAACCCTGACTTCAATCCCTCTGACTCAGCCCCCCTCCTTATTATCTGCCCTCAGCCAAGCTCCTGGTTCTAGTCCTACAGACTCTTCAAGCCTCTGGCTCTGCTGATCCTCTGAGGAGCTGAGGGTATAGTTATAGTCCATGTTCATATCCCCTTCTCTCTCATTGATCTTATCACAATTAGAGATGCACCTTGACACCTCCAGAGACCCGGACATATACACCAAAGAGTTTAAATATCTTACTCAACCCTATGATCTTAACATGGCATGACTGGTATTCACACACACACACACACACACCCTCCTGGTATTCACACACACAC